TTTGGAAGTGTATGGCTCTCAGCCAATGTGAGTTAAGTCTGTCCCACGGATTTGCCATATTTGGCAGGATGGTTCGCCTCCGTTGACTCGGGCTTGTATTTGCTGGCCAATCAGTTTGCACCCGATTCCAAAATTGGGCAAGACAGTCGGAACTCGTTCCACACTAGTGCTGGTGACCTTCGCATGCAGCAGACAGCTCACGTGCTCCGCGGTAAGCTTGTGCGCGACCTCGTATCTGGATATTGGCTCCGCTTATCTCTCTATTACCTACAACCACATTCATATCTCCGGAGACTCTAATTTGCATGGAAACACCAGCAACCAATGGCGCACAGTTTAAGACCTGTTTGCAACCACGTAACTTCTCCCATCAGATTTCGAAGTGCTAACAAGTCGTCGATACTTGCTCTTGTGCTCACCAACAAAGAACTCATAGTCGACAAAATGGTTACTAGCACGCCACTGGGTCGCCGTGACCATGTTACTCGACTACTTGTCTATGTATGCTATGCGGTAGATCCTGAAAAGAATGATGAAATATGTACTGTCACGCACTACAACGTGTTATCTATGCTTGTTAAGGATATATCTGACTTTCTTAACCGAATGCCCGCAGACGTCGCCTGGGAAACCTTCAAGAAGACGTTTGGCACACTGGTAGCGCACGCATCGGAATAGAAGTCCTTCCAACGTAAAATCAAAAAGAAGTCGTTTCGGAAGAGAAGAACACGTAAATGTATGTTCCTCTGGATTTTGGCATGACGAGCTAGCAAGGGCTGCCCGAATGCCGAAACCTGGAATGAGTACGTGGCACATCGTGACTTCCGTGGGAAATTGCTCCGCGAGGACAGCAGTAATTAACGAAGCGATTTCAGCACGGACCGCAACCTCATATACAGGCACGTTAATCGCCTTCGTAAGCTGAAGCACGAAATTCCAGCACTGGTCACAGCCGATGGTTGCACGCGGTCAACAATGGAAGTAGTCGCTTTCCTACGGCTTCATTACTGCCAAACTTTCCAGAAGGTAACTATCCCAGATATTCTCGTTTCTAGTACTCCACCGTCGAGTTTCTACAACATCACCTTTACTGCGGAAGTTGTGCCGTAGTAGTTGTTATTCCTGCGTATCCACAGTTCTCCTGGAGTCGACAACATCCGACCGAAGGCTCTGTGGACATTAGCTTGTAATCTAGCAGAACCACTGGCCGTTTTCTACCAGCGATTTCTAGATGAGAACCATATTCCATCAGTATGGAAGCGAAGGGTCATCACTCCCATTCATAAGAGCGGTAGCCGCACTGACCATACCAATTAACATCCAATAACGCTACTTCCTGTGCTATCAAAATTCCTGAAATGAGACATCGTAGATGCGCTGATGCAGTATCTGGAAAGCCGCAAGTTAACAGCCTCAGTGCAATATGGCTTCCGTTGAAAGCTTTCTTGTAATGCTAACCTATTAACTAAACCTAATAGCTGGACTGAAGACGTTGATGATGGAGCAGATGTCGAAAACATTTGATCGCTTAGGCCATCGAATTCTCTTTCACAAACTTCGGAACTACAGCATTGGCTACCCAATCCTCCTGTGAACAAACACTTTCTTACACGGACGTCAATTGGAGTTAAGAGTCCGGGAATCTCTGTCCGGTGCAATTGGTGTGGAGCAGTGCCGTAGCAACTACTTTGTCGCTTGGGGTGGTGATAACATTTTCGCCGTGAGTGAGGGCAGGATAGGCGCGCGAAGGTCACACAATCGGCTCAGGATAAAGTCCATATTAGTTTTCGATAAAATGTATGGTCGTTTATGACACTGAGGTATATGTGGCGAAAGTGGTCACAGTGGGACAGATAAAGGGATTGATGGGAAGTACATTTGCACAAGTGTGACACATGGCGCAACTGTGTTGTTAGTCATACAGAGTAACATTAAAATCTGCGGCCCTCAGCTTATCCGGATGTTTTGCCCTTTGTACTTAATACTGAACAGTCGACGGTACTAAAAATGCCGTCCCCTGCCACATGCCGCCCGGGACGGACGTCCCCACACGTCCCCTATGCTACGCCTCTGCTGTGGAGTTTGGTGTACCAAAGACTCGATGCTAGGGCCTCGTCTATTCTTAGTTTCCACAAACGGTCTGACGTGATAAAGTGCTTCCGATTTCCTATTTTTCGCAGATTATATCAAAATATGGTGAGCGATCGGAGGACCGGACGACCAGGAACGGCTTCAATGCGACTTAACACGATTGCGAACTAAGTTCAGAATGCACTAGCATTCAACGTAGACACATGTCGCGTTGTGCACTTACGCCATAGACATGACTACACGTATTTGTTTTGGGCACACGGATTGCAGCTCGGCTCCAAGAAACGTGAACTTGATGTGCTTGTACAGAGTGACATCAACTTCAAAACAAGCTGGGATAGCTGCGACAAGGGGCAACTCACATGTCGGCCTGCTGCGAAGAGCACTCGGGAGATTTGACTCAGCAATCTTCGTACTGATGCACAATTCCTACGTGCGACCTGACATTGAATACGCCCTCCAAGTTTGACAATCTTGATTGAAGCGTGACCTAGGAGCGTTAGATGCACCAACACGAAGAGCAACAAAGTATGTAAAGGGCCTACTCATTCACTCTTACCAGCGAAGACTGAAGCTGCTGAGAGTTTCCAGCGGACGCTACCGAAGGCTGTGAGTCGATCTCATATTAGCGTGCCAGACAATGAGTGACTCCAACCACGTATGCCGCCTGTTGCTGGAACTTCGACACAACACGCAGTTCAGAAGTAACTATTTGCAACGGTATGTTGGTATTCGCCTACGCATTCGGAACGAACAGACAAGAGGCCGCTCGATAGATTGTCCGCCGCCAGTCGAGCAGCAATGCATACGCGCGTGGGCCATAATCGCTTTGTAAACCCGATCGACCGATGCTTAATTTCCGCCAGAGGTAGCCACTCAAGAAAGAGCAAATCGGAGTGTAAGTTGTCCAATAAAAATATGTTGCATTTTGATCCAAATAGAATCTGAGCGCTGCCAAATCTTCATTTTTGATTCTCGGAGGGGGCTACATGACGGTGAGAAAGATACTCAAAGCTGCCGTCGGTCTACGCTGAGTCATTTCGTCCCGGGTAGTGACTATGTGCTTCCTTGGGTCGAACACACCAAACGGTTGGGCTAGTTTAGTTCCGTTGGACAACTATGATCTGAGCACCGAAGTGCGGTAGATCCAATTGTCACGGCTCACACCGTAAGAATAACAACAACAACAACAACAACAACAACAACAACAACAACAACAACAACAACAACAACAACAACAACAACAACAACAACAACAACAACAACAACAACAACGCTAGAGCTGTGGGTTTGGGTCTAAATAGTACGTAGAATGTAACCCCATTAACGAGTACGGCGTGCTTGAGTCGTTAATACGTACCGACCCGCATGGCAACTGCGCTTGCACAGGAGCTGCACAAGTCCGCAGCTTTGCAAGTCACCCAGTCATCTAATTTCCCGCTCCATGCAATAGTGCACAGACCAGCAGATGCGAACCGATGCTGTCTCACTAGCCCGATTCATGATGCAGTGCCCCACTACACGTAGTACGGCGGCCACTTAGGCTGCACATGACGCTTGTGGACTCAAACACAGGCGACCACCTTTCAACCTGTATTTCACTGGCAAATTGCGCAGGCCCCTTTTGTTGATTCACTCGCAAACATCTCATAACATCTTAGCATCACAGACCCCGATCATTTGTACTCATGCGTCTGTGACTGTCCTGATATCAGGACACACCGAACTTGTGCAGCCGTAGGCCGTTTCAAGCCCGATCGTTGGTAGGTCATCCAAATCCATAGGCTGCGCAAATTGTGGGCTCAAACCCAGTGCCAAACTAGCCCTAAGATGGCTAATGAGTTGTCGCATTGCCCAGTGAAGGGGGGCTCCACTGGTGCCGTGTGCAAGCATGGATTTACGTACATGGCAATCCACTTACGCCCACTCGACCCCCAACCCAGTCACACCACGTGAGTTTGGACAACTTTGTGACCTTAACTTGCTTGGAACTAGCTTCAGAGTATCCACTCGTCACTGTATACTAGTTAGAACGCCCACACCTTTCCCGTGCACACTATCAACCCACACTATCCATGCAAGGGTTATTCATCTACCCTCATTCGCTGATTTGGGCTATCTCAATTCCAGGACAGTGCGCGCTTAGTGCGTCGCGGACACTGGGTGCAGTTCAACTGCGTTAACGACCAAGTTCAATTGGCTCACGAATGCAGGTCAGATCCTTAAGGTGTAACTCAATTGCACTATGGATGCAATCAGTCTGGAAATGGTGCAGTGCACGTACAACAAGTGAAAGTCACAGACGAAGAGTGAAGAAAAAGAGTTCGCTGATCTTAGGAACTATCATTGTACAGAGCATAGCGCATGACAGTGGTTGGTGCAAGAACTTCACGGAGACAGGGTAACTCTGAGGGTGGTAAAGGGTAAAGTCATACAATTAGTAATGAAAGAGGCTGAATCATTAAAGTTAGCTACCGCAACAGGTTCGTTGTTGTCACGAGAGTGAAATAGACATTAGTTCGTTGCCTCCCCATTGTGTGCGGCCACATTGGCTGACGAAACTGTGCGTTCACACAATCAGTTCATTCGGTTGGTGTAGTGTGAAACACAAACGTCTGAGACACAAGGGGAACGCACCTGTGCAATTCATGACGATGGTGTGCGCGCATGTGCGCCAACGCAACACGCTTCGGAGGCAAATAAGTAAGTGCACCACCGTCGTGTTCCGTACAAGGCAGGCGCATACGTTACCTTGTTAACTCCGGAATACAGAGCCATATCGTAAACACATCTAACGGCCCACCAAATTGATCTTTTGTGCACACAAATACATACCGAAGTTGGCATGATCAGAAACGGTTGTCGGAAATGGGAGTCATACGAGATATACCGGACGGATCGAGAATGATATGTTCAAGACACAGACCAGGATGGCCTCCGCTGGGCAACAAGCCGTTCTCCTGTTTCTCCTCATTTCTTCAGGGCGCAGCTCCCGTTCAGCTACTTGTCCGCCGTCGTGCAAGTGTACATCAGCTGGTGAAGGCATGGCCGCTGTCAAGCAGCCTTACCAAGAAGACCGGTTACAGTCGCAAACAGTGGGACAGCCCATGGCCTCGTGTTGGATTCCATCCGACCTACCTCAGCTGCAGTGTGCATCTGACTGGGAGATCCTGCATTTACAGGTGTTGAGAGGCCATCATGAATTAAGGAGAGAAACCATTTCGGAATCTGGTAGCCACCCAATCACCATCTCTTCCGATCTGTTCATAAAATGTGGATCAGTTACTCGATTGGCCATCTGGGAACACAGCCAGTTCACCACACTGCCCAGATACATTTTACGACCGCTAATAAATCTCACTCGTTTGATTATACAGGTTAAAAGTTTGAATACGTTACCGGATCACTTTTTAGCCTTCCTTCCGAAGCTTACCTTTGTGATGATTTCAAAGTCTCGACAACTGCATGAAATCGGACGGATGACATTTGAACCATGCCCAGAGAGTTTGCAAACGTTGTGGTTAAACAGCAACAAAATTAGCGGAAAGTTGCCTGCGGGGCTCTTCCACCAGTGCAATTTGAGGACCTTGTGGCTAAACGATAATCAGCTGGAAATGCTGGATTGGGGGAGTTTGCAGGGGCTTGGCAACCTAACGATTTTGCGATTGGATCAAAACAAACTACGTAATTCACTTGAACAGAGCTTAGGGTATCGAGAAGACACGAAAACGACCGCTTTGAAATCCACTCCGATGCTCAAGTCGCTGAACTTGGCTTCAAACCAGCTGTCCTCTATAGAGGGTTCCCAGTGGTCTGGTCAGTGCGAACTTGCTCACTACAATCGAAAAGGACTTTGCTACTTGGAAGAACTTAACTTATCAAATAACCAGCTACAGTGGCTTGATCCGTACGCTTTTCAGGGCTTGCCAGCGTTACGGATACTAAAATTGGAAGGCAATGTTAATTTATACGCTCCAGATGCATCAAACGGTCTAATCTTAACGATGTATGTCATAGGGATAGCCAACAAAAGACTCACATCAGTTACCATAAACGTACCAAGTGATGGATCTGGAACATCCCCTCCTTACGTACTCGATGTGTGCGACGAGGGTTCGATATTGATTCAAGCGATTTCGCGTCCTCTGAGACGACTGCTGACGTACTTCAACGAAAGTAACTGCATTCGACTATCCAACGAGGTTGATACAGCTAGTGTCGCTGACTCGCCGCAGCAGGTACAGGGAAGGAGAATGGGTTTAGTTCAAGAGAAGAGACCGCATGGAACTCCCGCAAGTGCAAACAGGACGTTCAAGGAAGTGAATCCATTCGTAAGAGTCATTAAGCAAGGTGATGGTCTTACGCTGATTTTGCTCTGTCTATGTTTCCTCATAAGCGGGATGCTGTTATCAGTTGTACCATTTACTCTTGTCGCCTGTTGTTGTCTGAAAGATCAGGATCGTCTCGAACGTCGTAAACGTGTCCTTACAGGTCATACCAAGCAAAAAAATTTCGATTTGCTGAAACATGCCCCAAATGTGGGTCTTTTATCCACCCAGCATCTGAGAATGGCTTCACATGGAGGAGCTGATGTGGTGTCTCCGTTGCGTCCGACTCGTTCGCTGCTGCCAATGAACCTGAGTCCGATGAGCTTCTCTCCTGGTCACATGGGACCGCCAGTCAATCAGGTGGACACGGAGCATGAAAGGCGAGTGAACTCAACAGGAAATGTCTACCATCAAATTGATCATCACCAGTTCCAACAATCAAACGCGTGGTTTCTGAATGGAGGTTTGGTGACACGGCACCCGCACATCCAGCAAGAAAAGAGATTAGTCCCACTGCCATTCGAAACACGGCCCCTGCTTCAGTCTTCGGTTGGCACTGGAGCCAGTTCGGTGTATATGCCAACGGCGGAGAGTTCGATGGGTGGCTCAGCTTATAGCTTAGTCACGCTCACTTCCAAACACGCTCGATCGCCTGCTACACCGGGGCGATTCAAGGCCCTACCGGTTCGACGAGAATGAACTGTTTATACCTGGCGACATATTTCGCGCACCTATGTATCTATCGCTTGATTCGCTGCTTTCTTTGGAAAGAAGAAATCCATTTGACTGCGCTGGACTGCCGATGAGTAAACACCATCAAAATTCTCCACGCTGATGGAAGCGCTTCAGTGTTAAATGGAGACCACATACATACATGATATGTACTTTGAATAAAGGAATATAATAACTGACGTGAAGATAAACTGAAGAATTATGCGAACCATGAGATGTTTATAATTACTATGTTGTGCAATATGTTCCGTGAGTTCCACTGCCTCATTCATTGAATTGATTCATTTTGTTGGTCGGAACGATGTGATATACAGATAGATGAGTTGATGGAAATGAAATATTCCCCGTACATATTTTTAGGCATTGCAGCCCCAGCATGCGTCTATTCGAGGGGCAGAAAAAATTATCGCTGCTTCGAAATAGGCTGGTAACTAAATGTATAAAGAAGATATCAAATGTTTTGTTGAATAGGTGCAAACGGATGGATAAAAATAGACCGCAATGCACACTTTTTGAAGATTGTACCCAACGGAGTCTATCCACCGCGTTGTTGTGGGGCGTCCGCGACTGAGGTCTGTTGGTATGACAGTAGTGGGAAATATTAATCGGGTCGTTCTGGGTTACCGTCCTGATGCTCACTCATAATGACCTACACGGTTGTAGTTGTGGAATGAAGAAGATCGAATTTGCTTGAATACACAGCTACACACTTGAGTTAAGTGTGATGGAGGAAAGCTCCTTAGCTCAGGTTCGCGATAATTGAAGCGAAGCATTCTTGGCAGCGCGATAATTTCGCGTCGTGTGGACAGCTGCTCTTATGCTAGCGGTGTACGAGACGTATCGGTTCCGGCAGACAGGTGTAGTGCAACCTAGGTTCTGAATTCGTTAGTCGAACTATTAAATCTAGCATCCGAAAGGCAGCTCCGCGTGACACACAGATGACTTTTAGGGCATTGAAAATTGCATTCAGCAGCACCTACGTTACAACAAAGTGCATTTGGACCGGCTGGCTTGCGTCGAACGGAAATTGGGAGTGTGGGAGATGCAGTCAGAATGCACTAATTGTGTGATGATAACGCTGAGTTCGGGAAGCTTAATTTGACGCATTCACCAGTTTTATGATCACTGAATTACTCAAAATTGGATTCATAAGATTGGTAGCTAAACGTAGACTCGGACAGAAAAAATGGTTACCATGCTACAGGAACTTGAGAACGAAAAGTGCAGCTGTGTTTGGTAAGTGAAACCTTTTTTGGAGCTGTAACGAAACCAATAGAACCAACAGTATACAAAATAGTGATGTTTGTCACTTGAAAGCGGCTAATAGTCCAGTTTTCCTTGCGCCGCAAGTCGATGTTGGCAGGCCGACGGATGATGGTCCGTTTCGAACGCAGTATTTCACGAAATGTCGATGTCGACTGTTCAGTTGCTGCGGTGTTCGCCCAGCTGGACGATTTGGTTGCAGACTTTTCGCAACCAGTCGAAATGGTATTATTGTCAATGTGCAAGAAGAGTTGGCGGTTTCATCAACCGCTATCTCTTGAGCATTGGTGATGTCCCTTCGGTTGGTGACTAAACTTTGCGACCAAATTTTTCAGCTTGTAGAACACTGCAACAACTGAACAGTCAACCTTGTTTACACATGATTTCGCCTTTTGGGGACTAACTTTGCCAACATTTCAGATGTGGGATGGAAGCTTGACGTTCAGATATGAATACGTGGCGAGTGAACATGACGTTGACGTTTGTGAGAACTTCTCTAGTAAGCGTTTCTGAGCAAAATGAAACTAAAGATGAAAAGGACATGGAAATTAGTTTGGCAAAACCCGAGATGGATACTCAGTTCCAACTCTTATTTATGCATATAACACGCAACTATAGTTACGTTATTTTTAATGGCTTGGTCTACTCAGTGCGAATGAGCACCTCAAGCAAGCCGACTACACTCGTATTTCATGCAGGGGCTTGGCTGGCACAAAGTATAAACCAACAGCGTCGATCAATAACACAAAAGGAAAAGAAAGAGGATGAACAATGAACAATAATATATTACGTAAAAAAGCGATTGCTTTACAAGTCCCGTAGGATGATTGAAGTGAAAGCAAACATAATTGTAAATCGTCAGTTTAAGCGTCTAGTGAACTCAAGTGCCCCTTATTCATAGAAACGTTGTAGAATGTGTACTGAATTGTTACTGTAGAGCAATATGGGAAGTAATATGGGTAAGGCATGTCTTAAGGACAAGAGAAACGACCAACGCTTACTCGTGCGCCGCTTTCTTGGACTGGGGTAATTGATGAATGCAGTTGTAATATATCCGAAACTATATTCCACAACAGCAGTGTGTAAATAGTGAAGCACAAAAGCTGGGAATGAGCACCGTTGGTTCGCGTTTGTTTGACGTGGACATCTCTGATTATATAGCGTAATGTAGGTGGATAAGCGAATCATCCAGACGTCTTTTGAATACCGTTAGCGTGGGGGAAGAAACGACGTATGTGGGAAGAGCGTTCCAGTGTTCGCATACACGAAGGGAAAAGAAATTCCGGCGGCATTCCAACCGGCTGTATTGTGTGGCCAGCTTTAGCTGGTGTCCTCTGAGTGTTGTATTGCTATTCAGCTTTAGTAGGTGACGACAACAATGGTTTGGATTCCTCAGGATCATATAAGTCATTATCAAGTCGCCACACAGGCGTCGATATTGTCCACTGTAAACCCCGAGGGTTTTCAGCCTCAACCGGTAAGGGAGATGAAACAGGCCCCTTACGTTCTTGGTCGCCCTTCGTTGTGTCAGTTCAAGAGCGGTAAGGTCTTGCTTTTGCCATGGTTGCCAGGTGTGGATGGCGTACTCAGAATGAGGCCGAATGTAGGCGTTGAGCATCTGAGAAAAGATGGAAGGATCGAAGCGCCCGAATGCCCTCTGCAAAAGGCCAAGGGTTTGGTTACATTTTTGGAGGCTTTCTCGGCCTGACGGAACAGCCCAGATCTTCCTGCACTACCACTCCTAGATCGCATTCCGTTGTAGTGCGCTGCAATATTTGATCCCCCAGTCTGTATTCGCAAGTGGTTTTATGGCGTATGCTCAACACCTTGCACTTTGTAGCCTTGAACTGAAGCAAGTTCTGAGTCGACCATTCGTAGACCCTGTCCAGATCATCCTGAAGTGCTGCATTGTCGCTGGTTGTTCTAATGGCTCGCCATATCTTGAGATCATCAGCGAAGAGTAAGGAGTTGGAGTGGATTAGTGTCGCGAGATCGTTTATGTGAATCAGGAATAGTCGTGGACCAAGTACAGAGCCCTGGGGCACTTCACACTTAACGTCGATTGGGTTAGAGATGACAAGTTACAATTAAATTCAGTGTAATATGTACGAGTACGAACAGTTGACCAGTATGTGGGGACAATGCAGTAACAGTAAGACAGCATCACGGTGGCATTATGAGAAACCTTACCGTAAAGCTAACTCATTGTCATACATACAGCAAAAGGTCACTTGAATAAGCGGCGACAGAAATTAGGCCACCGATGCCGGTTGAATGCGATACCCTGTGACTTTTTCTATGAAATCACGGGATGAGCCCCTCGGAGCACAGGTTAGTTACTCTAACAATGCTGCGTTTAGTAACCAGCAACTTCGGATAAGACAAACAAAGCCACTCTCGAAAAAAAATGGCGGGCATACGTAAAACGTAACTAAGGCACCTTGCGTGCCTCCCGTTGTTCATTGTTGTGGACACACTAGCGCCAATCGACGTCATCAAGTAGCCGTCGGTGACGATAGCTATAGATATGAGATCTGCAGACAAGTGTAACAAAGGTTCACTGTAGTACGGAAGCACGGCCCTCACCGTGAACCTTGGGGACCAAAGGAAAGCCACTCATGAAGTTAATTACCTCAAATCCATATACGCAAGTCCGATTTGCGGATTAGGTGAATTAATTTCGGTAGTGACGTGCCCCTCATCGCTAGTATAGCCACCGAGTTAGTTGAATTGATTGCCCCGTCTATTTCTTTGTCGTCAATTTTCAAATGGCAAGTGAGCGGTCATCGGTCTTACAATAGCACATCACACTCTAAAGGCACCACGTATAGATATAAGCCAGGACAATCTCAGAGGGCTTGTCCAGCAATGACTGTACTTTCCTGCGCTTGTCAAATAGTAAAACATTGTTATGTTGTCGAGAGTAAGCAATTTCTTTCTTTCATAGTCCAGATCAGCTGGCTTTTTTATTGCTAGCACTTTATTTCCTACTCAGTGAGATCTACAACAAAAGACTCCATTTTGAAGTGGAAGATAAACTGAAAACTTGTCATCGAGAACGTATTTCATAACCCGTTGCAAAAGTTGACGTGATTTACGGTGGCCAAGTAAGTAGAGTCAAATGAAAAGAACGATCGACCGATTTGTAAGTTTCCGTTCTGGTCGAAATCTCTCCTGCTGTTCCCATAGCAAGGGTGTGCGTCCAGTATAAAGCGATGAACTACGATGGATGCCCGTAGCTTAAACACTACCGATATTAGGCTGATACTCCTGGGAGTATCACAAACATTTCGACCACTATGGCTGGTTCGCCTCAGCCGGATATCCGAGACAGGCTCCTGTTCCAGCATTTGTTCGGACAGACGAGTCAATACCTCGCAAATAGCCTCACTGTTACCCCTAAATGGATCGGATATAAGGGAATCCGAACTAGCAGCGCATGACCTGCGCATGAGCGAGCCTACGTTTCGAAACCAAAGTTTAGCTGTGCTCTCTAGATCGATTGGCTGCGGATTGACCTGCGCAGCGAAGCGGCTCAGAGACAGGAATTCAATAGAATAATTAATTGAGGCATTTTACCCAAAGATCCCGCAGTGTTCCTTATTGTGAAGTAGAGAAAAAGACACTAGCGGTAGATCCGGACCTCGTGCTGCCATATAACTACAGGCGATCGCATGTAAGCTGGGATAATGCGTGGCCGCTAG